AGACAGCGGCTCTTAAGAATAATATACAGACACAGAATAAGAGCGGTCGAAGATAGTTATATTTGCAGCCAGACTGCTCTTTTACTTAAAGTCAAGTATGGTGGAGTTATTTGCTGTGCCTCGTATGTGAAAATAATACAAAACCAATCTCCTCTTGACATGTGACTTAGGAGACGTGAAAGCTAAGTTACTTTTGCTATGGTTGAACATGAGATATTTTTCGATTTAAGGATCCGTTTGCGAAATATTGAACTTTAAAGTGCTAATTTTTGTTAGAGTAGAGCGCCCCCCCCCCCCCTTCTAAAAGCTAAACTATTGGCTTTAAAAACCCTGGAAAAATTCATGATAAAAGTTTTAAGATAGATTTGTTAGATTAAGAGTAATAGTCGTTGAACTTTGGTTAAAGAAAATTTCTTATCTATTGAAAATTCCTTAGAAGAAAACATTAATAGTGAGATAGATGAAGTTATCGTAGCGTAAAACTTTGCATTGCAAAAAATCTAAAATGAAACGACTATTTAAAAACCAAAATAAAATATCGTTAGTTCCACAACGCTACTGCGAGTACCAATGGCAACAGCTTCTGAGTCGTGCTAACGTTACGTTTTTTATAAAAAGTATTTAAACACTTGAAAAGATCGGCGGTTGTACCACATCATCCCCTTCTTAGGGGATGATCGCTTCAGATGAAGCTTTTAGTCAGTAAAAGTCTGACATAACCTTGCGGCCGGCTGTAGGGTATCTATGAGAATTTCACACCCGCTCCTCCGCCTAGGAAGAAGCAAAAAATCGCCGGTTATCGAATTGATTTTCAGTTTGGGACGCAGTTTGACTTTGATTTAGGTATTTTAGTTGAGATACACAGATTGATATTAATTACTTTTTCTAATTTCTGATATAGAAAATAAAGACTCGTCAAATACATTGTGGTAGCTACAGGCAACTACGGAACCCTAAACTGTGCGTGACACGACACGCACTTGGCCGGTTTTTGTATTTCGTTCGGAAAATTAAGGCGTTAATTGGTTAATTGGCGTGGTTGCTACTGTGTGGTGGTGTTAATGACTACAGACAACGTGGTGTTAATGACTACAGAGGAATCGTTACCTACCACTGAGCCACCACGATATTTTTTTTATAGCTACGTAGGCGAATGACTCTACCCCACCTGATGTTAAGTGGTGATAAAGTCCAGACGCGCAGATAGCTAGTGCAGCAGTCATAACTCACCTTGCCGGCCTGCAAAAATGCTTTTTCACGCCTCTTAATGGACCCCTGATTGTAGAAAGGAGGGAACGCGCAGGCAAAAATATCCACTAGCGAATAGTACGACAACGAATGAGTACTTCCTACTATAGCAACAAAAGCTGAGGCAGGGTTTTGACTGGCCATCTCCTAGTATTCTTATTTCGCTGTATTTATGTTTGTCATATGTTTTTGTTGATAAAAGCTTATTCTTTCTGCCCTTTCAAATAGGTGGTACATCGGGGCGTAACCCAATGTACTGCCCTTATTTTTGTGACATTTGTATACTTTTTTCAATGCTTTAATTGTGAGATCTCTACCAACAGGACCACTAGGCCTTGCAAGGTCCAAAAAAGAATGGTTTACTTGCGACATTTTAATAATCAGTTAGGTATTTCTATGTTTGCTAAAATACTTTAGTCAGTATCGCAATATATTTGTGGGTTTGACGAAAAGCCTTGCTCAAACCTAGGATAAACGAGTCATTCGGGAAATAGACTGCATATCGAACTTTGACAATAACATATGCATCATGTTTTTATATCACCCAAATTCTGTAAATCGACTCGTGATCAGTTTCACGGCTTTTCCTTTGTTAATCTCCAACCATTTTCACAATCTATCATTTTAATTAAATGTAAAAGCCCATTAAAGATAAAAAGGTGGCTGTTGGATAAACCGATTGAACAAAGGGAAGCCATATTAACATGGATGCCTCTTTCTCGATACCTACTCGTTGTATTAACGACGGCGAACCGGGTATATTGACGGCCTTCAGAATTACCCTATCATTCAATACGTCTCGCTTGTGTCCGCTGCCCAAATGGAACTTATTAGCGGTCCATTTTGTTTGCTTTGCGAGCCTTGAAATGGCTTTCTGTTATGTCACCCTTTCGAGCCTATTTATCGATATAGTGGATAGGTAAATCTTTTCACACGAAAACAAAGTAATATGTACGTATTGTATCCCTATTTTTTTTTGTCAACTGAAAAATAAATTTAAGATCATGCAGTTGGAAAAGGACAAAGGCCTTCGTTCTACATCTCTCTGTCTCGCTTTATGCTGTCCTGTATGGTAGGGATTCCAACGATATAGGAATCAGAGTGCCCAAAACTAGTAAAACATCAGGCGGGGTGGAGTTATTTCTGAGAACTATCAATAAAAATTAACAAAAATAATAAGTATTTTACTATGAACTTGCCATTCTGCCGTACTGGCTATTTCAAGACTAAGTTTTTTATTTTTTAAGTTGTGTTACATCTTGTCAAAATACTGCATGGAGTGGCACTGCGTTAAAAGCTTATCAGATATAATATATAGGTATGTACATACGGACCGCAATATAAATGTAATTTATATTATTTCAAAATTTTTAACTATATCTAAACAGCTCTTCCGCTAAATTTTTTTAACATACTTACCAAATCATCTTTCAAATGATTTATGTTAATAAAAATAAAATCTTTTTACTAGAAATCGAGATTTTATAAACTGAAACACTGAAATTTGCCATTCCCACTAGTATTTGCAGTTTCAATTTTCTTGAAAGCATATCATATTTCATAATACGGTAAGTGAGTTATGGCATAACATTATAAAATATCTTACTGCGCGCTCAATTTATGCATTAAAACTTTACGAGGAGATTAAACCTACACTTAAACATAACAGTTTGGCCAACGACGATTTTATATCAGAGTTTGAGTAAAACTATTTATATGATAAAAGCTTTATGCACATAAATGCTGGGGATTTCCACCAAGAACAATAAGATTTATTAACATGGGCGAATAAAGTTTATTAGCCATAGTAATTATGTTTTGATGACATCGCTTATATAAAGTTACTTGTATTTGATGAACAGAGGCAAATCACTGCATAACTAGTTCAAGATTATTGTTTGTTTATTGATAAAGGGGTATAATGTTTATGTAGCTCTAACACCTCGTTCACACTAAGAAACAAGTAATATACTAGTTTTAAACTAAACTTGCAGAATACTTGTTGTGGCTGTTTAATACATTGTATCTTACAAGTATAATCACTTTATTTATTTCACATATTTTGTTTATCCAAGAAGTTTGATGCAATTATTGTATTCACATTACATGTTTTATAAATGTATATGTTATGGGCCAAGTGATTAATGCGGGTAGTATTCATAATGCCAGGGCATTATGAATAATGCCCAGCCATATCGGGCCAAGTGATTAATTACAATCTAAACTCACTTATTTATCACATTCCCCGGCCATTATTAATAATGCCGGACGGCTCGTGGTCCATGTAATAAGTCAGTGTTTGAGATAGCTTGAATTTATCGCTTGGACCGGGCAGTATAAATAAATTCAAAACGTTGGTACTATTGTCAAAATGACAGATAAGTTGTTGACACCCTGGATTAATACATAGGCTACGTTTTACTGCGGAAAAATATCCCTAATAAACCGCGAGTAACACCGCGGGGCACAGCTAGTTGTTTTATAAACCTAATTGATAATACCTAATTGAAAGTAGTTTAATCGTAAATATACTTACACTGTAAGTTGTGTGCAATAAGTAGTTTCTAAAACCACTATGCAATGCTCTTCTGTAAGATCAAACTCACTTTTCACCGCGGAATCCTTGGTGGGATTTGAAAATTGTATTCAAATTTATATTTTAATTTCAAATCACACGCGGATTCCGCGTTGGAAAGTGAGTTAATTATAGAATAGCACGGCTGATGGCATGTTTGCGTGACAATGTTAGCAATTAGCGAATTATTTATCTCAAGGTTTCACTCCCAGTCTAGTATATATATATATATTTATAATATCTATAAAAAACAGGCTTTGTCGTAGCTTTTCTCGAGCGATTTACGCTTAAAAACGAGTATAACATTTAAGCTGAAAAACTGGTGGTATTTTTAACGTAAAAAGTTGGTCAATGAAAAAGGCTTAAATGATGAACACCGTACTCAACGAGGAGAAAATGTTTTAGCTGTTCCCTGGTTCTATGGATTATAAATACATTTTAATTACATTGGAACATTCACTGGATTTTATATTTTGATTAAGTATGCTATCATAATATAGTAATCAGTATGAATGGTACAGTGTTTGAAAGGGAATATTAAAGAATAAAAAAAGATTACGTTTGACTTTATTATAATAATAATTATAATGTTTATCTTTTTATATTAAGAAAACTGGAAGTATTGTTACTTAAAAAAAACCGCCAAAGTGCGTGTAGTGTAGTTACCAAAATACATTTGAGCAGGAATCTTTAATTTCTAATCATAACGTTAGCACGACTCAGAAGCCGTTGCCGTACTAATATACTAAAGGGCTTGCTGAGAAAACTCGGAAAATAAAGTGACGTTAAGTTTTTTATGTTTTCCTACGATATGGGTACCAATGAAAAGACTAGCTGGGAATAGTGGGTGTAAAGGCGCTAAAAAGAATAAAATATTTTTTTTCCCTTAAAACGCTTACTCATTACACAATTTATATAATCTAAAAGCTTATCGCGAAATTTACAATTTAATAATTATATTTTATTCTTTTTAGTGCATCTAAATAAAATATTGTTTTTAAAGAGTTTTTTATTTTTTTTAGTTTCATGTGCCGCCACCTTAAGCAGCTTTCTTCAGACATTTAATGACCGGGTACGTTACACAGAGATATTCCTTCTGTTAGACTGTGCTCCTTGTTACACTGTACTCCACTTCAACCTACTATTTTTTTTTTATTTAAATATTTTTCCTTATTTTCTATGATGAACTTCTCCTCCAAATATACTCGACTGGCCATAAAATGACACACGGCAAGCAGCAGATTGACAGTGCGTAGAAAGCAGGCACGAAATCTTGGTATTCATCTTTTATTAGCCCTAGAAAATATAGAAAGCATCTTCATTGTGAATAATTGGTCAGCTTATGTGATTATTTAGAATTTGTAAAATTACTTGTTACCTATTACGCATAGTAATTAAATTGTAATATTAATATCACTATAACCATCAAATCATAAAAATGGGGTTGATAACGGTGTAGCTCGATAGCGCAAGTATTTAGCGCGTTAGGCTGCCAACGATATTAAATACTAGATACACCAACACGAACAAAATCATGCCCGAAACCTGTCCACAAGGTACATTGGATGATCCACGGAGCTCCGTATAAGGCATTATTAAAACATTGAAAACCACCTTTGAAGCATATTGTATAAGGTCTTAATTAAAACGCATGCGTCAAAGAGTTATGACAGTCCGCAATGTAAGGTCGTAAAATTTTACGGCTTATTGCTATATGCGGAGGAATATAGACCTTATTTCTTTGCAATTCTGAATGCGCTAATAGCAATATAGCAGGTACGGACCGCGAGGAAAAGAGACGGCTATATTACGGACCATGCATTTGAATATCACAAATATTATCTATTAAATTAGTTTATAGTAAGTATTAAAACAAAATTTACTTCAAATGCGTTAAATTAACAAACATTGATACCTGTCGAGAAAACGTCATTTTACACACTATAAGTATTGTTTTCGCATTTTTTCTCGGAGCTCAGCAGCATGTTGACTTTTCAACGGTTTACGCGTAACTGTGAACCAAGAAGTGCTTGTGTCATGTTGAAGCACTTCTTGATTAGGACACATTTTGAGCGCACGTGGTGTATCTAAGGTATTTAATGTCGTTGTAGGCTGCAATCGTTGAAGTTAAGCAACTTTCGTAGGACAGACAGACAACCCGACAGACAAACATACGACAGAGTGAGAGCAATAGGCTTCCATTTTTACTCTATGGGTACGGAACACTAAGAACTCATGTTATTAAATGGAATTAATTAATTATTAGTAAATAATATACATGTTACAGTTTACAGACATAAATTTTTAGTGGTAGAAGTTCATATGAGTCTTTCTGAAAATTATAAATTACAAAGTTTCATGTGCATATTTTTTTTTATCCTGCAGAAAAATTTCCGAGGCTTTATATTATAATCAATGAAAAGTATAAAATTATTCTTAAGAGTAATTTATGTTGAAAATGTATTTTAAGAGTATTTTTGTTGCTATACCGCATGACTGATACAATATACGATAAACAACTTTACTAGAGTGAAACACATTATTAGAAAACAATTTTTCTCAATTACTGTTCCACGTCTAATGTGAATGTAATCGATAAAAGTGTTATGACTGTGTGCAAATACTGACACACACACAAGGGACATATCTGAGACAAAATAATAGCTATGTACAAAAATGCCGAGTCATATCGATATAATAAATTTATTCCTGCTTCGCTAAGATATATTCAGTCGGGTAATAACCTTCCAAGTTTGGTGCCATCTGAATATCTTATTACTGTCAGTCTTACAAGATGATAGGAAATTGCAACAACATTTTTATTTGTCTCGAAAATTATGCCATCGTAAATTTGTTAAACAGAAAAAAACCATTCAAAAATAAATCATTATAATTGTTATGTTTTTAATTTTTAAGCATTTATCTGCTAGATGTTTAAATCTAAAGAAAAGTTTACTAGAAAAAAATCCACGCGGAAGAGGCAGCACACCGGACTCGAACGCGCACTCTTGAAATGAAATGAAAAATCTTTATCCCTTCGCTTCTTTCAAATGTTTAATACTTGTAGAGGGATTCATTTGACATTGTGGGTTACCTACAATGCGAAGAGATGGCGCTGCCTTGCAGCCTAATGCTAGAGAAAAATTCGACATGGTCGCCAGGGCTGCGGTAGCATAATGGTCAGTGCATTCGCCCGGATAGCGAAGGGTGCGGGTTGGAGTCCTGTATGCTGCCTGGTCCGCGTGGGTTTTTTTTCTAGTAAACTTTTAATTATAATTGTCTAAAGATCTAATAGATAAATCATAGCGGATTTTCCACTCGGTCTGAAGCGCCCATCTGGAAAAGTAACCTCCACATTACAGAAGAGCTCAGTAAAATAATAAAGTAAAATTCCAGATCGGAGTAGGGGATTGGGTCAGAGTAGGCAATGGTGCGAGTGATATGTTTGGTATCGCAAGCGTCTTTAAGTTATGGTGGCCGCTTCAGATCAGGCGGGCCGTGCGCTTATTTGCCATCCTTTCAACATAAACAAAGATGTAATTGATGTACAATGAAATTATGCATACCAATCAAAGGTGAAAGTGTCAGATTAACAGCACCAGTTATTAGCAGGAACATGGAGTAGGCACTGGGGAAGTCCTTGTGCAGTACATAGTTGGATATCACCAAAGGGCTGGCCACGTGTAGCCAAGCTCTCAATACTCCTAAGGTTGCAGTCGCAGAAATGATCCATATGTTTTGTTTTACTTGAAGGATGACTGAAAATTTTACGTGCTTTTCAACAATAGATAGTAAAAATAAATGGACATGCATTACAAATTTCTTGGAAAGTAGATAAATAAAAAAAAGCCAAAAGAAAAATAAAGCACTTGTCTTAAACATAGTCGGTAATAAACAACGACAAATATTTTTAAATAATTATATTAAAATACAGCTGCTTTATCCAAATCTGATAGTTGATTCAAGACGGATGTTATTTTCTATTGTATCTGAGATTGGTAACTGTACATAGATAAGAAGAGGATTTCCCTGAATTTCTAGATTGTAGCAAATGGAAATCAAGTAATTCTGCTTACAATATTTTTTATTCGCTCATTTGTTAGTTACATAAAATTTTGTTGATGACGGGTTGTGTTGTCCTTTGTTGTGATGTGGAGAATTCGATAGGCGGTAGAATAGGCCTATAAGAAACCGAGGCCGCGTGGATATGAAAATTCGACTCGGATATATATAAGACGATAATTGTACCTAGCTTCTAAATTTAAGAAAACTCTTTGGCAAATAATTAGAAATTTTAATATACATATAAACAACCCAAAGTTAGTTACTTCAACCTCCCTTGCGATTAATAGTTCAATGCCCTTCCGGCGAGTATTGTGGTAGATCTGGCGCCCGAGTACCTTTTTAATTTAATTTCGACCTATCCATATTGCTTTAAAACATCTTTTGTCTTAACCCCTAACCTTTATATTTTAATATAACAATTTGAATTACAGAAAATTCGACACGGCCCTCAGGCTCGAGTCCCGTCTGATGCCTGGATCGCGTCTATTTTTTTCTAGTAATTTTTTCTTTATATTATATTTGCTGAGAGAGTGGTGAGTTTGAATAAATATGCTATTTGATATACTATAGCTTAATAAAGACATTAAAACACAAAAGACGAATACTGCATTTTCATTGTCATTTTTAGAAACTCACAATCTTTTCTTATCAAATTAATGGAGATGATGACTAATTTTTGTTTTCTTCGTCTAGCAAGAAGATTTTCAAGAAGTATTGGACACTGCAGGGGCATAGGCCTTTTCTATGGATGAAGTTGGGAATTTGGGCCATTACCTACCACGCGGGCTCAGTGCGGATTGGTGGATGGGTGCTAAAGTCTGCAGATGCAGCCTGAACCAACGGCTTATGGCTTGAGATAGTATATTTTTGATCACACATCCAATGTCGCTTAACTACAACGATCGCACCCGAACGAGCTAACCACTTGGACCATTGAGCTCCTCGTATCATCATCGACTCGATCAGACACGTATTTTTTCTTTACTCACATAATCAAAATATTTCAGAGATATTTGATTTGGAATGTCTTAGAACGTCACGTCTTGGTGCAATTTTTAATTAAAGTGACGTCACGAGCCCCCACTCCGAAACTTGGATGCACTTTAACTTTGCATTTGTTTGTTGATTAACAAAAGCGTCCATTATTTTTTGATAATATAACTGGTGAAATAAATAGAATTTCGTTTTTCATCCATCATCATCCCTATTGAATATAATCTTTGCTTTGATTAAGATAAGGTTATCTCGTTAATATAATAAATATATAGCCAGCCTATCATTATGTATAACTATGTAAGTAAGATTTCATGATTATTATTAAAAAGCATTTAAAAGAAAAACAAACATACCTATTCTAACGACGAATGTTGAAATGCTGCTTATATAGAACAGTAACCTTGTGTTTATTGAGGTAAAACTACTTATTATTGTAAGAAGGCATCGACCTACTACATCGGCTGCTGCTCCGATTGATATACACGTCGCAACTTGTGCCTACAAAGATATACACAATCCTTATTTATATTAACAATGACATAAACTCGTATTGGGATAAAGATAAAAGTTCATGCCTGACCGGGTTATATCCATACTGGAACAATAACATCGGATGTAATATGAAGAATGTTATATCTGAGAAGTTGATTAAACTCTGACCTATACAGATGTTAAAGTAAAACGGATCTTTTAAAAGTTCCAGCGCCATAATCTGATGTAGCCATGATCTGCAAAGATAAAAATCAATTACATTATTTGACAAAATGGACATCATAATATAAAAGTTCAGTAAAGACCTACTTAGAATTAATAGTTTTATCTTTTGTTCCCGTGCAGTTAACATTATCTTCACGATTCAACAAATCGACATTTTCTTCTTTTTTAACATTACCACTTTCTATTAAATCTGTAAATATTGAATCATTTGCATTTTAGACTTATTCCGATTCCATTCTCAAAACGGACTATTTAAAAGACTAAATGAATACTTGCTGTTCTTGATTCTGCTAATTTATCAAAGCTGGTTTTCATTACAGCCATTCCGGGAAAAACATGTAAAGAAATTGCACTTATAATAAGAAGGGTGCCCCTAAATCCATAATTTGCAATCATCATCTTTAATATTTGTGGATACCACATCAAAGTTATTCCTTGTATTGCTTTACATGCACTCATGACTGTTGTTCTTTTCTTTTCAAAGTAAAAGTTAAGCGTTGAATACAAAACAGGGACCATTATGCCAAATCCTATTCCTTGTAGAACTCCAAATGTTATAGGTAACTGATTTGTATTAGTGATGAAAATCGTAGAGAAAGATCCGATGCAGAAAGTAGTAGCTCCAATAAACCCACTTATCCTTAATGAGATTTTTTTCGATATAATGTTGAGAATCAAACCTGGAAGAAAATAATAGTACCTAATAAAACATCGAACCTAAATATAAATTAAAATATTACAAGAGAAATTACTTCCGATAGCCAGCATCATACTAAAAACTCCATGGGCCGTCGTAAGCGACTTAGCTGTTGATTTCGTTTCATTGATAAAATCATTATATATCAGACCAAATGAATTGATATGACCGATACCAGATATCTGTAATTATATAAAATAATATTGTGAAATGATCAATGATAAGAGAGATTATTATTTCTTTGTCGGTGAGGCTACTCTCGGTGGGTCTAGTAAAATCTTTTAACAGTCAGTAACCCTAAAATCGATGGTAGATCAATTAATAGAAAAAGGCTGGACATTATAAACATTTAATTTATGATATTCAGTCGATTTTGTTAAGAAGTGACAGTATCGGAGAGATATTCACATTATAAATTTGATCACTCGAGTCGAGAAGAATTATGAAAATGCAGGAAATGAAATCAAGGCACTGCTTCAAAAATGAAAAAATACAGGCACAAAATTAATTACCCGGATGTAAAAACACCGTTGTAGCTTTTAAGGGCTAAATATACTCCAAGACAGGAGACGAGACACCCTAATAGTATATTTAAGAATAGACACATGCCGACATTGTCTATCTACAAAATTGGGCAACATTTTAGTAGTAACATTTTTTTTTAAATTGGTATATTTTTGATAATTTAAAGATTTGCATACCGGTGATAAACGCCTAACTAACTAATGACTACTAACAAGAAAGTCTCGACTCGAAAGAGTCTCCGTAAACAATAAATACATTAAACTTACGAATGTAATGATGACGCCGAAACAAACACTGTATCCCCAACCTCCTTCAGGAACTTTGCGTTCTTTGTCTTTCTTTTCCATTATTATGATTGATCTTTTGAACTGTGTCGCTAGAAACGAACACCAAACCGGATTGTGTATCAAGGGGCTCACAGCGGATGCCCTTTATAAAAGACCCACTATTAACGATAGACGTCTTATTCCGTCAAACAACAATACTACTTTGTTCAAAGGCGTATTTATTCATACTGCGACAAGGGACGGCTTAGACTATGCGTATTTTATGTTTGTTTAGATAGATACGAGCACCTTTATGTTCTGTGTGATAACGTTGCCTCTTTTGTCTGAATCGTAAAATAGATAATGGTTTGTATGTATTGACGTTCTGATAAATTTGCCAGCTGACAATGGATGTAGCGAATAAATGGATTGTTGTATTATTGCATAATATTTTAAAGCTATTTTATTTCCTTCTCATACAAAATTCTTACTTCTTTTTACGCTACTTTCATTTAGTTTGTTGTACAATATTTAACACCCTGGGACCAATATTAGAGAAATACATTTTATTAAACGATATTCATATATTTTTTTTATTTTTTAAGCATTTAACTGCTAAATGTTTTTCCGTCTGCTGCGTAGTCGGCGTGGAGTATTTCTAGTCAAATTTTCTTTAGATTATTAAACGATTCTCAAAACGGCTAATTCCGTGACCCATATAAGAAGTAAAGGATATATTACCAAAAATCCAATTATTTTTTGTCGTGTAAATATTTTCATTTACCAATTCTTATAAGTATTATCTGTTTCTTGTAATAGTTACTAGGTGCCTGTGAGCAAAGCTGCGGGCGGAAAGCTAGTTAAATTAGCTACTATGATGTCATGATGCAAACTCGTAGCGACTGCTAACAAATTAATTTAAAGTTCTTCAAAGGCTCTCTCCAGCTACAAGGTAAATCAAAATCAAAATTTATAAAAGGGAAATATGAAAACTGTTTTTGTGAAAACGAGTAATATTATTTTAATATACCCAAAGATTAATTAACTTATTAGTATTTTTTAAGATTCCTTTCTCGTTATAAGGTATTATGTTATTTCTTCAAACCTGCCTTTAGAGAAGGCTGCCATTGCAAGAAACAGACAATTGTCTGTCTTCAGTATAACTTTCATAGCCAAATCTAGGTATAATATATTATGTGGGGTAAATATGAAAACTCAGAAGAATTTGGGTAAAGCAACGACTAGAAAGAATAAGGAGCTCGATGGCGTAGGTGGTTATCGCGTTCGGCATGCGATCGTGGTAGTTAAGCAACTTTCATAAGGATCGGTCATTGGATCTACCTATTCCAATCATAGCGAAGGCCTGTGCCCTAGTAGTGGGGATATTAATAGGTTACATATTATAGGTTAGGAATATGATGAATGACTAGAAAAACGAGCAAATTGATCGTCGATGATCTGACACGCACATCTTTCGGAAAGATGTGCGAATTTGTGCGTAGAAGAGAATCTTTCCTACATACGCATACGCAGAGTTGAATGCTCAGATATGTCTCCCCTTTGGGCAATCCTTTGATTTTTGGCATAAATAACAGGCCGGCATTAGGTAGATAAGTATATAATGTGCCTGTTCATAATAACTATTAGCAGCTTTCTTAGTCACGACTGCAATAAGTTAAATATGTAAATGTATGGGGGTAGCTTATCAGTGGGGTCTGGTCTGGCTGATATACCTTGCCTTGGCCGCCTTAGCTATGTAGTAGTATTAGTCACAGCTCGCCTGTTTTTCAGATCCCATCATTATAAGTATAGCGCCAGCAGAGTACACAATGGCACTGTTAAACAAATACATATAGAAACAGAGTAAGGAACATGCGAAATTTCGATCGAAATTTAGTTTTTCGTTGAAATAGAGTAGACCTCCTGGTACCTATTTTAATAGAGTCATAAAAAGAAAAAAAGAAGTTTTATCATAAACTAGCAGACTCGGCGAACTTCGTACCGCCTAAGGCACTGCGCAAAGGACACTTTTGTGTCTTATGTCGGATACCAGCTTCCAATGAATATTTGATTTCTATAGAACCAGTATGAAATCAGCCACTTTCTGCGTGTGCAGACGTAAATATTTTTTCTGTCCAGCTGTTGCTTCCATTTAACATACAGGGTGTAAAAAATCCTTTAACGAAGTCGAAGGCCACGTATTTTCCACATCACGACGATAAATTTTTTTCGGACCATACTTGGGAAATTTATGATTATGGAGATATTGAAGGTCATAGTCACATTTTTTTCAATACGTTATTTAGAAACATCTTTATCGACGCACTTACACACACGCACACAAATACACACACGCACACACACACACTCGCACAGGCACATTCTTTCCGTAGCGCTACACGCGCCGCGCTATATATTGCGTACTGGAAAAAAATGTACCCACGTATAATATTTTGTAATATTACTTGTTTGGGTGTACAGAATGCGTAGTTTTAGTCATTGTCATAGGTTTTTTACGCCTTGTATACCTACTTGTTGACTATCAAAAGCTGTTCGGAGTCGGTATATACATATACCTACATCCGATGATCTGGGAAAGGGCAAATTCATAATCATAAATGGAGGGTGTAAAACTTTGAATTATGGGTATATGATGATCAGTTGAGATTCGAATCACCTGGTAAATTCATTCGAGTTTCGACGAGCAAATCCACAAATAATACAAAAAAAATGCTTTTTATCTGACGTTTCTATTAAAATTTGATTCTTGCGTTAGTTCAATGCTGCATACTGGTGTCAACATTAAAAGTCTTTATAATGTTTTGTCCCCACCTCCCGTTATGGACATTATAACTGGGGAGCAACAACAAGCGAATAAAAATCTACACAATATTAAAAGACATATATTAAATTAAAAAAATGTAAGCAGATATTTCTTTTTAGTACTAATCCTATCAAATAAACAAGCAACACAGATTAAGTTTTTAAATAAGTAGACATTATTCTTATTCTTAACAATGAACAAAAGTTTAAGATTTTTAAATACCAAATAATATAGTGAATAACGTTCTTCGGGATGTTTAGTTAACACAAAAGCAATAAGACTCCTTATTATGAAATATCGAGATTCCGAAGTGTGTGATTACGCTAGATCTCCAAGGGATAGAAGAGTAGGGATTAGGCTGGAATCAAGATAATGGTGATTAATGAACATTAGGCTATGCTGTGCTCATGTTAATATGTGGCCGCTGATAGAATGCGTTCGTGATATCTGAAATAAGTTTGATGGCAATAATAGGGTTTATTCTCATATTAGAAGTCGCTATGCCCTGCCTGCATAGCGGATTTGCTGCTCGAATCGGAGCTCTCGTCTGGGGACGTAACATCCACCTTACAGACGACCACAGTAAAATAACACTTCCTTTTGATGTCGTTGAGTTTCTGTTGCTGAGTAAGAGTTCAGAGCTCCAAGGTGATATTTTTCGTATCGCAACCCTCTATGTGTCGCCGCACACGGGCCACACGCCACAGCCACAAACGCCGCCACGAGAAGCTAGAAGCGGCTACTAAAGTGGCTGAAGCGCGTGACAGCGGCCGACTAAGGTAAGGGAGAGAGGGGTGGGGAATCGCGCGAGTGACGTGTGGCGGCGTTTTGTATCGGCGCATAAGTGGCCGGTGAGAGCCACAAGAAGCGAGCAACGACGATTTGTAGCGTGTGGCGGCCACCGGCGTACCGTGCGTGGCGAGTCCATATAAAATGTATGAAAACTACAAGAAATATGCCGGTGGCGGCATTTTGTGGTTGTGGTCGGTGGCCTGTGTGCGGCGACACTATAGCCTATGGTGGCCACTTACTATCAGGCGGGTCATGTGCTAGATTGCTACCGTTTTAACATTAAAAAAATATTACATGTCATTGTGTAGGTATCTATTATGGTTTAACAAGAAACGTTGCCGCTCCAAATTTCTTCAAAACTTTACTTCATCTTCGTCGTTCAGGGTAGTTGAAGGCATCCGAGTACGCAGTTGATCGCCAACAAGATGGAATGACTAAATTAAAGCGATAGCAAATGATCCTCTACACGTGTGCACAAGATAAGCAGCCGTGAGGGAGGTATGGCGTCACTTTGCGCGGCAGGTCACCGCCATTGAATCTGCTGATGCCGCTGAAATAACGGCCACATCGCTTTGCCAAGAGTGTAACGAAGAAAAAGAAGAAGAAGTATCTCATAACACAAGCCATACAGTGCTTCCTTAAGTGCTAGGCTAATTGGTGTGATTGTAATAAATATTTATTTATTTATTATTTCTATCCATGTTGATTTCCTCAGCCTTGTATGAAAAGAAACATAAACAATTTGGTCTAGTTATATTTTTTTTATTAAATCTACAGCAGTCTTTTCATTATTTTACTATTATTGTTACACTAACATAAAACAATTTGATAATTAAATGTTTTAGATTTTCTGTAGTATGCAAGTAGTTTCTTGTGTTTGTACAACTGGTACTACTGTTTTGTATTTACTTGTTTTAAAGGCAAAACGCTATAATTTCTTAAAGATTTCTATGTAACATTGTCTCAGAAGTTGAAAAATTTAAGTTATTTCATAAAATACTTATACAAAACTTCTAAATCAAAACCATCTTAAATTAATGGAAGTTTGATTCCTTAGTTTAGGAATTGCCTCGTTGACATCACTTTGTCAATATTTAACTATCTACACGTAAACTTTATCACCATGTTCCTTGTACTATCTTAGTCCACCATCACGTCTCTAAAGTTTTATTTCTCCTTCGGTTCACAAACACCCAGATGCCTTCTATTGACCAAGGTATGACACAGCAAAGGTTGCAAGCTGTCAGCATGTTGAAAGCTATCACATAACTTCCGGTGTAGTCTCTGATAAAACCTGTAATAGAAAAACACTAATATTAACATCCACCATAAAGAAGACTGTACAGGCCGTACGCGGGCGGGTCCCGCTCTATTAATATAGTGTAGCGGGTCGCTACTATGAAAGAGTTTGAAATGTCCTTACCTATCATAGGTCCTACTGACTGGCTGAGCACTCCCGCTAGCATTATTTACAGGCCGTACGTAGGCGCGCACTGTTCTATTGGCTCGTGCATGAGCGTAACGGGTCGCTAGTAAGCAATAAAAAGGTTCTCACCTATCATGGCCCCGACTGACAAGCTGAGCGTTCCCGCTAGCAGCATTTTCAGGCCACACGCGGGCTGATACCGCTCTATGGGCACATATATCTTTATTATTAGCGTATCAGGTTATAAAAGAGTTCTTACCTATCACAAGTCCGACTGACAAGCGGAGCGCTCCTGCCAGCAGCATGTACAGGAGGTACGAAGGCGGGTACTGCTCTGTGGGCACATGCTCCATCACTATTAGTGTACTGGGTCAGTAGTATGACATAGACATGTTCTTACCTATCATGGGTCCGACTGACAAGCTGAGCGTTCCCGCTAGCAGCATGTACAGGCCGTATGCGGGTGGGTATCTTTCTATGGGCACGTGCTCCGCCATCACTATTGGCTGCGCTATGTGCACCAGGGACCTTAACGCGCCCAATATACCGGTCAGTATTAGTAAAGGCGTGTACGTCGTGAAGCTAACAAACACTGTAAAATACAAAACAATTTTTAAGTAAATGATTCCGATGGATGGTGTGGAAGTCGATACGATCGTTTTGCGTTCGTCGCAATGGCTTGTCCTAGGACGTGTGTCCAAAAATGTAAAATCTCGAGCAACTCCGTGTTTCAGAAGTTATAGCATCCACCAATGTTTATGGGCTGTTCTCTCTGTTCCGTCCATAGGAGTGGCGTGTCTCAGCAGAAGGGACACAAACAGGGAGATGATGAATGAAAAAAAAATACGAGCTAAACATTGTTTGTTTTGGACCTAGCGGGATTAATAAAGTAGCCTAATAAATAAGCTTCAGTAGCCCCTAGTAAAAAATGTAGTATCTCATGTGGGTTAATGAGTGCACAACATGTAAAATGTGATCCAATAAGTCATTTAGAAGCATACCTAGGGATGGCCCTTACTTTTTTCTAAAAATGACAATAGACACGGAAACAGCTGGAAATCGCCTCTAGTTAACTAAACTACCAACAGTTCGGTGATAGGTTAGTAATACCAGAATATGTATATCCAATATTTTTTAGAAATACTTTGCTGGTATTAAATTACCACCGTTAAAATGTTATATTCCTACATATTCTAATTTAGAATTCTTCGTATTTCCTCTCTGCACCGGTAAAACATTTTATTTATTCAATTTAGTAGCTGCGTCATCCCTTCAGTAAATAATTATGAAAAGGGTACAGCAGCTTTATTCGAGTGAAATGTCAGCTTCCTCAAATATTTGCCCTGTTCCGATATCCAATTTGACTTACTAGAGTATCATCATTGTCATTTTTATATTTCAATATTTACAATACGTACCAAATTAGAAGATACGCTATTACTATTATTTTGTATTGGACACATATTATGCTTTAGGTGTAAGAACGTTTACAATTATTCTTCAAGTAACTTTAATGCAAATGAATCGGAACACTAGACAAATACACATAGTGTTTTGCTGTGATCCAAAAATGTTGTGAGCTGAAGTAATTTGCATGAATGCTATAAAACCAAGGTTATATCACGGTCATTCTATTTAGAATCAATCATTGCATTAAAAAGTAACATTTACCTATTCTAAACACAGCAGTAAGAAGAGCTCCCGTGAAAAACATGTGACGACTATTCAGTTTGAAGAATTGTCCGGAGACTCCTAGCAAAAGTCTCGCGGACATGTCAGTAGCTCCGCCTATTGCTATGATGTTTGCTATCTCTGCCTGTAAAGAAAAAGCATTATTAAGACATTTCAAAACTGTATTAAAAAAATCAAAGAAGTATAATCAAAGCACATGAATATATATTTTAAAGAATATATCTTTCAATATGTAATTGTTTTAAAAAAATGTGATAAGAAAACTGGTATTTATTCAAGTCTGACGCCAAGTGAAATGTAGCGTTGAGGTAGTGTTATGAGATTTTTAGATTATACATGTTAAAATATAGATAGATAAAACTTTATTCGCACCAACATGCGCATATACAAAATTGAAGACAATTTTGTCAATTATATAAATCCTTTAAAATGTGGAACAAATTAAATTTATACAACTGTACTATGATATTTTCGTGTGCAGCAGCGAAGCGAATGGGCGAAAACTCAGCGTAACATTTACTCAGAGAGTAAATCGCTGATTTTCAGTTCTGACCCATACAGATGAGGTCACGCAATTAAATGTCAGATTAAATTTCACAACACAATAAATGAAATTAAAATTAAATTAAATAGAAAAAAATATTAAACATTGATTGGACATATAATTGTTATAGTACATTTATATAATCATAATATAAAAACAAAGACAAAAAAAATGATAATTGATCAGTGAGATAAATATTTATAATTTTTATTTTTTAAGGATGTAACTGCTTCATGTTTAAATATGAAAAAAATAGTTTCGGTGAAAATAAAATTAAAGCACATAACACCAACACCGACACCGACAACTCCGCAACCAAGCAACTAATTTCTGGATATTCCAATTTTCTGTTGTTCTAATAAAGATGATTTCATATGTGTTTTAAAAGTCTGTCTGCACGAAAATATAAAATTCTTACCCGGCTTAGATGGTTTTTATCCAGAAACAAAGGCTCGAGAGTGAAGAATGTTAAATCAGCAAAGAATGCCAATGCCATTCCAAAGATGATGTTATCGTATACCCAATCTTTGAGTAGCGTTAAATCTAGGAATTCGGCCACTGTTTGCCTGAAAACAAAATTATATGCAAAGTTTCTAATGTGCTTTTCTTTGTTTTACTTCTCTGGAACTTCAGAACTAAATTCAGTATGACTAGAACCCTTGTGAATAAAACTTATAACTACGAGCTACTGAGCGAACGAGCTCCACTTTCGAGGACAAAAATATGATTTTCAAAACCATTTTACTAACAAAAAAATGTTACTCTTTTAAAATTCTGACCAAATAAGCTCCAGTCCAATGGACGTTTGACTAATTCGTCGATGGTGCTTCCTACAGTTTACCGACTGTTTTTTTTTATTTTTTCTATAAAGTCTACAGACTCTTGGTCCATCCACTAACCTAACCTAACCCACTAACCACAAACACCATGGTCTTTTATTCATCTTAATTTTTATATAAGGTCTGTAAGTTGTTAATATGGTTTTTGAAAACATGTTTTGCACCCTAAAACTAGGGAACCTAGGGAACAAATAACCAATGGTATAATTCATATATGTATCCTTTTAAGTAAAAAAGTAAGTTTTTTTATTATATCCAGCTCGTTTGTGCTTCAGTCGGTTCGGTCATTACCACCCAGCAATCACATTACAGCCCGATTACAACAGTGAAGAGATTGATCGGCGGAGTCGTGTTTTGGAATCTGGCGCCCATGGCCATTTCCGATTTGCTATCCCCCCCCCCCCCCCCGCCCTCTTGATTAAGTAAATTAAACAAACTCAAGGTCGTAAATACAAATACGCCCCTGTTAATAGGTGTGATGATAATGATGGTGGAATCTAAACAATGTTTGTTGTTTTGCTAATTTAATCGTAAAATTTTAATCGCAATTTAAGAGATTTGATTTATATAGCTAAATGTCTTCAGACATGTTCGATGATAGTTTAGTGTTCTTACTACATAATTAATTTATTGATTAGTTCAAATGTTTAACAAGCAATCAGTGATTATTTTCATAATAAACTTACTGGGGTGTCTCTGTTAATTTGTAACAAAATGATCATGTAATGATACAACCCAACATTAATAAACGGGCGTACCGTACTTGACCCCTTTATCTAGCATGGCCTGTCATTGCGGTGCCCTCCGCCCTTCGTACATCAGTATATCACGCTTACGATAAGGTGTACAGTTAGGTGGTTGTAAACACTGTTACAATAGCCTTGTAATGTCAATCTTGTAGGCCTTGTACTCCTTGAATTGGGAATTAGATCTACAACATGAAGCTCCTTTTCTTATATCGATAACGACAACTTTTGGATATCCGGTATTATAATATAACATTATAATGTATGGAAAAAAATCCAATAGTAATATTAAACAAAAAAACATATTATATACAAATTTTATAAAGTAGTGCAGTTTTTATCTATATATGTATATAAAGAGAGAAAAGGATACACTGACTAACTCATCTTGAACCATTTAAAAAAACACTAATTGAAAAATTTATGGTAAAGGATTACAATAAAACAACAACTTCCCAACAATTTTACGGGAATGAGACTACGGGTGTCAAATTCTATTTCATAAAACACTTAACTGATTTTGAAAAGGAAATCTTCAATGTTTGAAATTGTAGAGGAAGAAGTACAACTTTTGTTCTGTTAATTCCACGGACCCAGGATCTCCAGGGGTAAAATTCTATTTTTCAACCACTTTACCGAATTCGAAACCATTTTTAAGATCGTATCTACGTATTTACCTATTATTTCTGGATGCTGATTCGTGTCTACTTAATACAAAACTCCCGTGCCTAGTTATTATTTCTGCTATAAACTTCTTCTGTTATGTAAAGAGGGAAATGGACATTTTGATTGATTGGCTGGTTAACTCATAACGCAAAGCCAAAACTGGATCTAGATTAATGAGATTTAAACAGTCCTTTATATTGTCCAGAAATAATTTTAGACACTAAGGGAGGATTTTTATATTACACGACAGATAGATAGACAGACAGACGAGAAATGGACTGCAGAAGACGGATCGACACTAAAAATCTTAACGTTACAAGTCTTTCCGTACATAATAATTATACTTTCTCAAATCGGTAATTTGTTCTTTTTTCATCACATATATTTCTATAGATATTCAAATTTAGTAACACGAATGGAGACATTGTAATCGATATCTCGATACTTAAAATAATAATGAAAAAAGAAAGTGGCTTCTAGAACTTCTCATTTCAAAAAATATTGTAAAAATTAAAAAAAAAAAAATGGTTGCCTGTAAAGTCGGTTTTACGGGCGAAGATTTTACGTGACAACGTCTTTTTCTCGGTAGAATATTTATTGATATGAATATAATTAAATTGCACAATAGGAACAAGGAATTGAATGAAAATAAGAATTGCACAAATTTTAACTATAGAAATATATTTTGTTTACTAAAACATTGTACATGTAAACTTAAACTTAACACGAGAGACTCATCGTAACGTTACCGAGCGTTACACTTTTTCATAAGTGACTCCCAGCCGCAACCTAATTTAAGACGTTGTCACGTCAAAATGGTTGCCTGTAAAGTCGGTTTTACGGGCGAAGATTTTACGTGACAACGTCTTTTTCTCGGTAGAATATTTATTGATATGAATATAATTAAATTGCACAATAGGAACAAGGAATTGAATGAAAATAAGAATTGCACAAATTTTAACTATAGAAATATATTTTGTTTACTAAAACATTGTACATGTAAACTTAAACTTAACACGAGAGACTCATCGTAACGTTACCGAGCGTTACACTTTTTCATAAGTGACTCCCAGCCGCAACCTAATTTAAGACGTTGTCACGTCAAAAAAGAACAAGCGCTCTGGCCAGACATAATAGAACGTGACGTAGTATTTGAAATTTTTGAAACCGAGGTTACCTAAGCGATGGGTGTGGAACTGAATTTTCGTATTTTTATGCAATATTTTTGTTATTGAAGTCCTTCAAATTTGTACCAGGCCACTCAGTAAGTTTTGCGTGTCTTAACACTGGCCACTTGTAATTATTTTGAAAACCTCGATTATTTAAAAGTAAAAATACAAATTTTACTTTTTCGATTTTCAAATTTTTCCTCCGCATTTTTTCGAGAGCTAATTAATTTTTTCTTGTCTCATTAAAAAAAGGATTTGCATCGAGAAAATTTTGGAGTTACGATTTTCAATGTGGCTCAAAACTTGATGAGTCATTAATTTGATCGATTTCGAACTGCTTTTATGGATAAAGGACCTTCAAAGCAATCATCTAACGCTGGTGTAGCAAGTTCAAATGCGATCGTCTTACTTTAGGGGATGAACAAAGGAGTGGTCGTCCTATGATGGCTGTCACCGAAGAAAGTGTGCTTTGCATCGAGAACATTTTCGAGTTACGATTTTAAATGTGGCTCAAAACTTGATGAGTCATTTGATTGATTTCGAACTGCTTTTATGGATGAAGGACCTTCAAAGCAACCATCTACCGCTGGTGTAGCAAGTTCAAATACGGTCGTCTTACTTTGGGGGATTAACAAAGGAGTGGTCGTCCTACGATGGCTGTCACTGAAGAAAGTGTGCTGGCAGTAGAAAAAAACAACAAGAAAACAGGCGAATGACGTACGAAGACGTTGAGAATACTCTGTAGATTGGTACAAAAAGTGTTCACAAGATTTTGCACGAGAACCTTTGCGTAAGGAGGATAGTTTCCCGCAGGGTGCCGCACAACCTGTGGATTGGTGCAGTGATATGATACAAAAAATTGATGCAGGCTCGTCACGGCGCGTTCACGATATTATGACAGGAAACGAATCCTGCATTTATCAATACGATCCAAAACACGCGTCACTCGACAGTTTGGATGTTTAAAATCAACTTTTTTTCAATTTTTGATCGCTTGTTTCTTCACTTTGACGGGGTACTTAATTTCAATTCCACTTCGCGACCAAAGCAGTATCAACGCCGTATGGTATAGGGCAAAATGCCTGCCAGAAGTTTTTTCTGCAATGAGCAACAAGCGACCTAACACCGGGCTCCGCGGGGTCCTTCTTCACCACGACAACGCGCCCGCGCACTCTGCGATCAAAATAAAGTACTTCCTGGACTCCACACCCGTCAGAGTCTTGGAACACCCTCCTTACAGTCCTGATTTGGCTCCGTGTGACTTTTTATTCCCTAAAATAAAAATTTAGCTCAAAGGGATACAGTTTTCATCACCAGAAGAAGCGCTAGCAGCGTTTGAGAAGGCCGTGGAAGAGGTGTCTGCGGAGGACTGGAAAAAATGTTTTGAAAATAGGTTCAGACGCATGAAACTTTGTATAGAAGCTGGTGGAGAGTTCTTCGAAAAGATTTAATAAAAATATTTGTTTCATAGAAGTTAGTTAGTCAGTTTAGTCAGTTACCATAATAAAAATCGAATGATTTCTAATTATTTTCGATATAATTATGTTTCCAAAGTATTTAATACAACGGTGTGAAGCCGGGACGGGCTGCTAGTTATTTATATATGTATTTAAATCCTAGATTTTTCCACTAAAGCTCTGACAAATTCTGGATTTCAATGAAACCTTGAAGTTTTTCAACTAATCTTTTTCTTTGGCTCTAAGAACAACATTACAGTAAATTAGGTAAACCGGTAAGTAAACACATATTTAAATGAGAAAATGGATTCAGAAATCTTTTAGGATGATGAAATTTTTTGACGTCATTATATAACTAATATAGTAGCAATTTAGTAAACAAATATATAAATTTTCGAAAGACGTCTCAAATATTGACAAAAATAAATTTGATGACCTCAGTGGCTGAGTGGTATGTACGCAGGGTGTCAAGGTGTCGTCTACTCACAGGTCTCGGGTTCCAATCCCGATGGGGCAAATGTTTGTGTGATGAGTACGAGTATTTGTACCTAAATCATGGATGTTTATAATGATTTCAATATGAATATTACCCTTATGCGCTAGTATTCCCTAATATTTGTATTGGTGTGCTTACAGTGCTTATACACGGAATGTTAAAAATATTTATTTATTTATACAGACTGAACAGTTTTGTAACTTGGAAATATAATAATAATAATATTCTTTATTGTATAACACCACAAAGGACATACCATAAAAAATTCACTGACAGAGAGACATTACACAATGGTCGGCCTTATTGCTTAATAGCAATCTCTTCCAGGCAACCCATATAAATGGAATAAACTAAAGTTCCCGTTTAAATACGTGATTCTTATTATCGGTGGACGTAAACAGGAAGAGAATATACTCTGAAAATATTTCCTTTCATGTTGAAGAGTCAAGGTCTCATAAATATAGATAAAATTTGACATTGATACCACTTACTAGGTAGCTATAAACCAATATTCTAAGTCCAAGTAGCCAATGACACGGCCTCGGTTATATAGGAAACGGTTGACCGTCAATGGTATCACCTTGACACCCTCATTGGATTCCATGTTAATATGAATAAAATATTTCTTACCATTTTCCTTCCTTATTTTTGATAATAGGCATGGGTTCAGCGGCGATGTTACCGAAATTTCCTAGGCTTGACACTGATGCTGCCTTGTATAGGTTCTCAATATAAACGGCATCCGTTGAATTGAATCTGTTGTCTTCTTTGGTGGCCGGAATTAATACCACAGGAATACTCAGTCGTCTGAAATACGAAAAAAGGTGCATTATACTCAAAGTACCTACGACTCTTTTGAGTAGAAAATGGACGACTTAACTCATTCTTATATGACAGAAATTGTCTACATTTAAAAGTTGAATTGTTGAATTGCAAAACAGAATGCTACGAAATTTTGAAATTGTTATGAAAAGCTTAGCTAGAAGGAAAGAAAATATACTTCATAGGTACTCCATTTTAGCAAAATGAAATAACAAAAAAAAAGGTATTTAATAAATGATGCGAAACATAAGTGTACGTTCTTTTGCTTAATATAGCGTTCGGGCTTACTTTCCCTTTCAGGTTTGATACGGTGTTGTTCTGACTTCGCTTTTCTGTATGAGTCAATAAAAATAATACAAAATTACCACCCTCTTCCTGATGTTAACTGTCGCGAAGATAGATGATGCAGCAGAAGACGTCCCACTCCAGTCAACCTAACCCGGTGGCCATTCGCCTAACGGAAATGCTTAAGAAAACGCTAACGCTTACGATTTTATATTGTTATTTCTGACCGCCGAAGGTTTTCAAATACCTCACGCTCATTTTCTTTAATATTAATATTACCAATGCAAAAGAAAAAAATAGAGCGCGAGGCATTTGAAAACCTCAGGCGGCTAGAAATAACAAAATGAAATCGTAAGCGTTAGCGTTTTCTAAAGCATTTCCGTTAGGCGAATAGCCCCCTGGAAGGTCTGATCCTAATCGCCTACCCCGCGGAGCCATGGATTTGTGCTGGTGAGTAGGGTACTCACCAGCAGAAACACAACACCACCAAAAGCTTGTGTTATGTTACTGTTGTCTTTTGTAAAGTGGAGATTGCATCCCAAGACTGATGCTTCAATTCTAGCGAGAAATCCACTGAGCCCTACTTCTCTTATAGTCTTATCATCATCATCATCATCATCATCATCATCATCAGCCTATTAATGTCCCCACTGCTGGGGCACAGGCCTTCCCTATGGATGGAAAAGGGCGATTGGGCCATGACCCACCACGCGGGCCCAAAGCGGATTGGCGGGTGCTAACGACTGCAGATGCAGCTGGGACCAACGGCTTAACGTGCCTTCCGAAACACGGAGGAGCTCGAGATAGAAGATTTTTGGTCCAGTGGTTTGGGCTGTGCGTTGATAGATCACTATGTCAGTCAGTCACCTTTGAGTTTTATATATATAGATAAGTATGTAGGTGTACTTCTTATTAATCACAGCGCGTGACGTAAGCGTTGAAACCATTTCGGTGTCACTCGCGGGGAGGCAACCCTTACCTGGCGTCTAATTTCGGAGCTAATAGCAATTCGGAGCCTTTCCGATTTTCCGCACGATTGCTCGGACACAAATTTTCAACTGATCTCGTGTTATCCGCCGCACCGCTGACTCCAATATCATTTTTGGCGAAATCGAATGATTCCTTCGTTTGCTCGACAGCTGGTGTGGGCGGGATCACTGGAAATTTAAAATACAACATGAGGTTTTTATTGTTACCGTTGTTGTTGTTTGTTTTATCAGCTATGAAATGAAAAAGTTTTTAAATTATTCATGTTGTTTATTTTTTTCATCAAGATCAATAATTTCGAAGAACGCATTAGATTATACATATTATTTAATGTTAATTATTATATAATATTTTGTCAGCATTGTTTTTTATAGCTAGGTAGGCAAATGACTCTACCCCACCTGATGTTTAGTGGTGATAAAGTCCAACGCGAAGATAGCTGGTACAGGAGTTATAAACTGCTACACCAACCATCTTCACCTTGCTGGCCTGCAAAAATGCTTCTTCACGCCTCTCTTAACGGACTCCAAGTTGTAAAAAGGAGGGAACACGTGCGCGGGCGAAGAATTTCACTTACGAGTAGAAAAGAGTCACCAAATTTTTTTGTTCGTGTAGAAATAGAGGCCACAGTAATATTAAAATGTTAGATGTTTAAATTCAAAGTAAAATTTACTAGATACTACCGCCTGGTTAGCGGAAGACGCGGTTTCAAATCCCGTCTGTAACCTGACCCCAGTGGTTTTTTTTTCTAGTAAAATATTCTTTATTTAATGTTTTTGAGATGACACTAGACGCGTTTGATGTTTTTGGGATGGGTACTAGACATATATTTTGATATTTTTATCACTTTTTGCTGAAAGGTTTATGTTTAGGTAGCTTTAACGTTAGTTGTTTCCATATTTTGTGATACCATGTCTACTCCATGGTGGAAATATATGTTGTTTTTAGATTTTTCAGAGCTATGGACCTATGTGGTCATAAGTACACATAACTACTTACATAAGAAGGTACACAAGAATCGGACCAATAAGACCGCTAAAATACAAAGATAAAATAGTTTAATAATAGGTACCGAAGTAGATTGTGATGATTTATAATTGAGATTAGCGGCCCGCCCTCGCTTCGCTTCGGTGTAGAGCTGAAGTGTAGATTACAGTTTTTGTTCTCAGGCTTGTATTATATACAATGACATTCATCTATGATTCTTCTTATACCTGCATGCAAAGTCTCAGCCCGATCGGTTTAAAATTGGAAAAGTTTCATACAAACTTTCATTCCCTATTTTATCCCCTTGGGGGTAGAGTTGATCAAAATCCTTTCTTAGCGGATGCCTACGTCATAACATCTACCTGCATGCCAAATTTCAGCCCGATCCGTCTAGTGGTTTGGGCTGTGCAAACCTTATAGCTTTGTACGAACTACTTTAGCCGTAGTAGTAGCTATTATATGGTTAACTAGCGGCCATCCGCGACTTCGTCCGCATAAACTTTAGGGTTCTAAGAATACCACCGGAGCTTTAAATTTTTTAGGGATTAAAAGTTCTATGATTCTATTCAGATCGTAAACTATACAAGTACCAAATTTCAACAAAATTCGTTCAGTAGTTATTGCGTGATTGAGTAACAAACATACAAACACACGATCATGCAAACTTTCACATATATAATATTAAAGTAGGAAGTAGGATGATACTGTTACGCAAGAGAGTATTATTTAATTAAATTGTCGAGTAATTTCAGTTGACTGACGCAGACCCGAACCGACCAATTCCGAGTTACGTAGTCCATTATAGACCAAATAAATTTAGTCCCATTGCGCGACGGACTGAGCAAGCTATTTACAAATTCATATTAATGAATTGCACGCCAAGCACTATAATCCACTTTGAAGTACGGGAATCATTTCGCACTTTTTAACCTGATGTTATGTGGTCATGGAGTCCAAACGCGTAAATAGCTGGTACAGCAGTTATAAACTGCCATAACAACCATCCTCACCTGCGCTGCGGCTGCGTTTATTTTGCAAAACAAAAAAATGCATTTATAAAATGATACAATATTGGTCTGCGAGGATGAACTAACGAATAATCTTGACTTTAGGTATATGTCTCATCGCCAACTACGAACGAGAAGCTAGTAGAGCTAGAAACTAGAAATAATTTGACAATCAGCAGGAAGCGAGTGTGTAGTTCCAAAAAATGTTTCACTGGCCTGTAAGTGAGTGTGCGAAAACGATGGGCAATTCGCTCAAATTTGATGGCAAAGTCGCGGCACTCGCTCGCTGTGACAGACCTGAGCAAAATTTCAGTATTATGTTTGATAGCTCTTGTCGCTCAGCGACAGACTAGTGGAGCGAGATCTCGCCCGCACTCCTAATAGTCAGCGATCAACTTTCAATATATGCATCTCCATTGTTTACACGGAATGTATATCTATTGTACGTTTCTTGAGTTATAAAATATTGACTCATTTTTTTTTTGTACAATTCGTAAGTAGAATTATTTGCCCGGACACCCGTTCCCTCCTTCATACAATCTTGGATCCTTTAAGAGAGCCGTAAAGAAGCATTCTGCAGACCGGCAAAGTGGGGATTGTTAGTGCGGCAGTTTATAATTGCTGTACCAGCTATCTTCGCGTTTGGATTTTATCATCACTTAATATCAGTTTATTCAGAGGTTGAGTCATTTGTCTACCTGGCTATTTAAAAAAAAGCTGATAGGTAGTAGCTTCCGCGCCGGCGGTGGGCATTAGCTACTTGGCATTTTATTTAGGCAGTTAGCCTTAATAAAATGCCAAGTAGCTCAAATACTTCTGTTTTTGAAAATACTTGTACTAAGATAGCCTGTTCTGTTTGTAACTCGAGCGTCAAGTAATGAAGGAAAATGAGTTACCCTCCGGGAAAATGTTCTTACTGCTCTCCCCTTCCTATGCGCTGTGTAGACCTTCAATGGAAATTAAACCACTTGTGTGCTAATCCCTTTAATAATTCGCTGTTTAGAAGGCCTTTGTCGTAAAATGTTATGCGCCGAGTGCCATAAAGTAATTAAGGGGCAGGAAAATTAAACGTTATCGCGTATGCCAAGCGATTGACTGCTATAAGAACATTTTGCCGATGGTCGTTCTGGAAGTTAGTTAAGTACATAATAGCCCTCTTTGGCTGTAGGGGAAAATAAAGAACCGATTAAAGAGTCGAATCGACGCCTTTTTATTTCAAAAAGGTGACTTAAAATTGCTTTTAATTTTAACTTTTTTCTCTCACTTCAAAATCCTTTGTAAATTAAATGAAAGCAATTAAAATCAATGTTAATATATGAAATTCTCGTGACACAGTGTTTTTAGCATTTCGAAGTAAGCTGGTTCGGTTAGTAATTTATGTATTTTTGTTTAACTATACCTTAAAAAGCAATGGCAAGTATTTGTGGAAACCCCGCATTCAAAATTATCAAAATTAAAAATAAAATACCTTATAGAATAAAATGAAAAAAAAAATGCAATTACGATTAAATTAGCTTATTCTTATCATTTGCGTAATTATACCAAGTGTAATCTGCGAAAATAAATACGTCCGAGCAACAAAAAGATAAAAATGTTATTTTTATAACTTTTTATCTCATTGTTGTGTATATTTTTTCTTATTGCACTCAAATACTAATAATACTTCATGGTCCAAGTAGTTAAAATATTCCTGATACCCTCTGCAAGTAACAGTTATCGGTTAATACCGGAGATGGCTTTATACATTTTGTTAATTATTTCTTACTAACCGCCAATGTGAATGTTTGAAAAAAAAAAATTAAACCGACTATAACGCCACATATCACAATGACATGGTATACGGAACGTTTTGTTGAATTCTCAAATGTTCTATGCAACGTATTTAAATTTTTTCCTTGTGAATGTCTACAAAAAAAATACCTTATAGAATAAAATGAAGAAAAAAATGGAAACTTAAAGAAATATGGATGAAATGACTAAATACATTCGCAGATGATCAGGGAATTAAGGGATTCATTTGTATATATTTTAGGGAGATATGAAGAAACCTTGCAAGGGTAAAAAGGGTCACCCAACCTGGATGTCGATTCTGTTACGCTTATGTTAAAATCATGTCTCAAGAGTCATCCCAGTAGTATATCGATTTTGACACAGTTCTTATACTAAAACATATTTTTTTTAATAAATAATAGTAACAAATTACTAACCAGATGACTATTTGTAATTTAGAGTTTTGGTAACAGCTGTGTCAAAAATCAAAACTACTGAAACTGAAAAACGAAAAAAGAATAATTAGAATTAGTTTATCAACCCGCCACTATAACAGTATAAACTCCTATTCTAGTATAACACAAAAAAATAGCCAAATTAAATCTAATCAAATTATAATAATAAGGAATTTAATATTCAAATTATTAAAGATAAAATAAAACTAACTACCATTGATATGCGATTATTACTTTAACGTAGCAGAATCGACGCCTTGATGTTGAGAGTGAGGACCTGATTGAGTTGCGATGCACAAGGCATCGTCGCCTTGCGATTTTGAATGATAAATAGTATTCAATGAGGGCAGTCGTAAATGAGTTCGGTCTGCGATCGTAGAAATAAGGCAACTATATTAATTGCCGGTTAAAGAATGGGTGACTTCTGACTTATAATTTATTATCTCAAGATTTTCCGGGCTTCGGAAGCTACGTTGAGCAATAGGTCCCAGTTGCATCGCAAAATCATTAGCACCCACAAATCTGCACTCGGCCTTCGTGATGGTTTGCTTTATACTTATTCCAGTCACAGGGAAGAACTGTGCATTAGCAGTAGGGACATTGACAATCTGACAATAATAATGATGATAAATGATAAATTTGATATTAGGTACTTACGTATAATACTTTCCACTAACTTAGGCTGTTTGATCATATGCCACTTCACTGGATGCATAACAATTGCTCCGAATATACTATGCGCTGATATGCCACAGAGAACCGCCAGAGTGCCTCTAAACCCGTACTCGGTCATTGTAAACTTTATGAATAATGGGTACAACATTGTTATCAAGCCAATAGATGCTTTACATAAACTCAAATAGAGCACTTTCTTCTTTGTGAAATAGCTATTGAAACTAGTGTAGGACACCGGAATGAGGAGACCCATCCCTAAGCCCTGGAGGAACCCATTTGTTATGATTAGTTGGGTGGTCGACACTACGAATATAGCCAGGAACGACGCTAGGGTGTAAATAAACGCGCCGATGAGGCCTACTTGTCGCAGCGACAACTTTTTTAATGCTATGTTCGCTGAAAAACCTGAAACAAGGAATTGCATTTGTAAGTTTAATGTTGATCGTCTACTTGATTTGGTAAAAAAAACTCCATAGTCTGTACTTATGTTTTCACGCTGTCGTATCATGCATAATCATAATCAAAATTATTTATTCAGTTTAGGCTGTTACAAGCAATCATGAATGTCTAGAAGCTACGCCATCGGTTCGTAAATCTACGGCGGGAGACCTAGTACTGAGAAGAACCGGCAAGAAACTCAGCTAGGGCTGTTTTTTTCTCCCTGTTTTATTATTTACAGAGTCGTTAAATTGAAAAATGACTTCAGAGATGATTCATGAAGTCACCTTTCATTACATAATGATTAAATATATATTAATTGTTTACCTGCATTTTGATTGCTGTATCGTACAGTATAAATACAAATAGTGTTATTTATATAAAGTGTGACTAAACATTAACTTCAATATTAAGGAAGTTAGGGCAGACTCATCTCCGCTGGCAGCACTCGTTCACGAGCATGACGCATGAACCAGCCATCGCTTCGCACAGGTATATTTTAGGGAACGTAACGACCCGCCTCACACGACACCACTCAAGAGACTATTAAGAGAGCATGACTACCCATAACTACCCATACTAACTACAACATATTTACTTAAATTAAGGTCATTTACACCGCAAACAATTACAAAATCACGACCACGCCGTTTAATCAATCAAATATTCTTAAACAGTCCTCCCTCACCCTATTACTCAACCCAGCTAATTATGTTACCTACCCTACATTTTTAATCTTCCCACTAGATTTTTCGAGTTGAGTTCCATTCCCATTCGAGGAAGGACTTTGTTATTTTAAAAGTTTCACTTACATCGTGGTTTGATAAAGCCGTACAAATTTTTGTTTATACGGAATATAAAAAGAAGAACATAAATATAGATAAATCTTACCAGCTATGGCCAGGGTTACTTGAAATACACCGTAAACAACGGTGACTGCTCCCGTTCCTACCCCCAAGTCATCCAAGAATTCATTGTAAATGAACCCGAATACGGGCTGATGTGCTGTGCCAGCAATCTGTAAATAGAAATAAATGATTTTCTAAACACTCACCCTAATTGACCTAGCCTAAAAGTAGGCACTGTAAGGCTTGTGACTGTGTGATGTGTGATTTGTGATAGTTTCAGGATAACGGATATAATACTGATATAGGTATTTATATATTTTTGATATGTATATAAACATCCATGGGTTAGGTAGAAATGCTCGTTTTCATCATAGAAATATTTGTCACATCGGATTCCAAATATTCGCGATTAAAAATAGGATAGAATTTATTTACGAAAGTGTTTTTTTCATTTGCTATAAGAGCAGCTTGCTTGTCCAACAATACGAAAATGTATACCAGAACTTCAAATAAGTTTGTTTTTGTTAATCTGTATAACACATCTTATAAAATTTATAGCGATGTTGTGAAGTTAACAGCGGGCTCAACTATATGCAGGTTTTAGTCAATGAAACCTCGCGCGCATCAATATAATTATTTCGCTTACTGCACCGTGACTTGCGCAAACTTCACAGCTATCGCATTATAAGCAGGGGCATATTTAAAAGAATTAGTAGATCAAAATATAGGCCAGTGACGAATGACTTTATATATTTTTTAAAATAGGCGCAACAAAATAGCCTGCCGCTCCTGATGTTAATTGTAAGTGGAGTCCATTCGCGAAGATGTTCGTGATGATTAATGTTCAACCCATCTCCTCTTTAGCGATCTGAACCCAATCCCCTATCCCGCGGAGCCCTGGAACCCTACTCACCAGCAGAAATATAACACCACTAAAAGGTAGTGTTATTTTACTGTGGTCTTCTGTAAGGTGGAGTTTGCTTCCCCAGACGGCAGCTCTGATTCGATCGGAACATCCGCTACGCTCTACCTCTCTCTCTCTCGCTCTTGCCGCTCCTTGCCTCTAACGTAGTCCACTGGTTTAATTCTAATAATTATATTCTTAATACAGGTAAAAATAAATGTTTACAAATTTTATCACCTAATGTAAAGCAGACCCAAACCAGTGTGTGACCTTGTGGACACTGCAGTATTCTTAGGCATTATACTAGATTCGAAGCTTCAGTGGGGCCCATATATAGAGAAATTGTCGAAGGGATTTAGCTTTGCAGCCTACGCAGTAATGAAGATACGCCAATTTACTACCCTAGATATAGCTCGATTAGTATATTTTAGTTATTTTCATAGTGTGATGTCGTATGGTATTTTGCTGTGTGCTCTTGTAGCCGCCCCATGCAGCCTGCCACCCCGACCATGGCCCTCTAGTCCCTAAGGTAATACTCCCCTAACCATAAGCGTTCCCTTGTTACAGTCCTACTTCACGACCAATTTGAAAGAAATTATTTGTGTACGTTAGAATGATACATACTTTACTTAATCTGATAGGGGCTGCTACAGTCAGGGTCAAGGATTTTTCATTAGGTCTTCCCTATGGACGGAATCCGGAGATTGGGTCATAACTCACCACGCCAGACCCAGTACGGATTGGTGGATGCTAACGACTGCAGATGTAGCCGGGGCCAATGGCTTAACGTGCCTTCCGAAGCACGGAGGAGCTCATGATAATAAATTTTTGGCCACGCATCCCACTTGTTTTGTTTCTTAACTTTCACGATCGCAGGCCGAACGCACTATCCATCTGCGCCATCGAGCTCCTTTCATTATCTTAACTAAAGAAAAATTATATTATATGATAACGTCTAGCAGTCTACTAATTTTATATAGGTACTAATGTCCTGTCGTAATTAGACGTAAGTAACATGCTACAATGAAGACCATAATTATAATTTGTATCAAATACATTAATCGTTTGGATCATATTACGCAAGATCACACGTTAATTAAGTTAATGAAGTTTACATACCGCGTGTTTATTACTTGACCTGTCATCCAACATGCATATAACCGGAACATACTGGTTTGAAAACCTAACATAAATAACACGTAGCGTTTCTATAGCAGTAATATAAGCAATATTTCTAATCAAACGCGGTTCTATTTACAATTGTTTTTAGGATTCCTTACCCAAAGGGTAAAAACCGAACTCTATGCTATCACTGAATGTTTACCCAAACCTAAATATGTTGTTAAAAATTCAATTGAATATCTATGCTATCACTGAATGTTTACCCAAACCTAAATATGTTGTTAAAAATTCAATTGAAAAAAACGAAAAATTTACGCTTACATGAAAAGGTGACGATTTCGTTTGACGTCATAACCTCTTATAAATCGATGAAAAAAGTGTTAGGTCATGTCGCGTTATGTCACTAGTCAGTTCAACGTACCGCGGTGTGTGTGTGGGGTGAGGTCAAGGGGTTCTTTCGACGCCCTCTGACTCCCCTGACCAAGCTGAACTCCCGACCACCCTTGACCACCCTTGACCGCCCTTGACCGCCCCTGACCGACCCTGACCGACCCTGACCGACCCTGACCGACCCTGACCGACCCTGACCGACCCTGACCCTCTTCTCCCCTGACCCCTCTGGTCTTTAATGACTCATATTATGCATAAACAACAGTACTGAAAACGTCAATTGAAAACGATGAAAACAAACAAATGATTTTACGGAACCCTTATTATAGAGCGAGGTAATACTCGCGCTTGGCCAGTCTTTTTTAAATATTGCTGTAGTGCCTTCGAGGCACTATTACACACATTGTAATACGATTATGATATTACTCTCATGTTTTTTTCTTTTCTTACTACATTTAAGTGAAAGTATACATAATTAATAACTTAAGTTAATTGTAGTAAAACTTTATTCTTCGTATATTTTTTTGTCTTTAAGTGTTTATTTGTTTATAAAAGATCTATCAAGCGCCATGCGTCTATTTTCACTGTAAAATAAGGGAATAAATAAATATTAACAGGGAATATCGCGTTTTATATTACAAAGGCAATAAAATTATCTTAATTAGACTAACTGCTAAAATTGAAATTAACATAATATACTATAAATAAACAAGTCAATATTTTCATTGTATTAATACATTGACTATATTTTTTCTCTATCCATTGCTTTATCTTCACACAGATTTAAAAAAAACTTTTAAATATAAAATTTGTAACAATCAGAAAATAGATCAGTTGCAATCGTGAGCAGACAGAGACACAGACATTCTAACTTGTAACACATTTGAGCTGATATTTCAGAATGATAAAATATGCGTAACATGTATTTATAAAATCTCGATTACAGCCAAGCAGGTCACGTATGTTTGTGTAAACACACGCACATTTTTAATGTAATAAGTAATATCTTTTTGACGATCAAAGTTAAACATGATAGGATATTAAGGTACTGCGGCGATCTACCTTGAAGGGGTAGGCCCTGGGAGCGTAGTTTTATCAAACAACTTATATGTTAGACTCTTTTATTTCATTAGAAATCAGGAGAATATAATAATTGAGCTTAATCTATCAACGTATGGTTTGGTGCCTGAAGTCTATCTCATGGAATCTTCTATCAAACGACAGACGATTCCCAATATTAAATCTTTAAAAATCTGACATTACCTTTTTAATATAACTGGCATTACATGAACAATGAGTTTACCCAAACACGGAGGCTGTAACGCAACGGACGTTACAGTGCCTTAACATACAGATTTTTTTTCTGTATGATCTATATTGTTTAACTTAACTGTTTGGGGTACGTATAAGCAGTATTCATGCGGGCTATTTAAACTTTACTATATATAGGTGATTTCACCAAGTTAATCTATGGTTAAACTTTTTAATACAAAATAGTAGATGTTTACTATTTTTTTCATTCCATGCTACTGAATCTACTGACTGTTTATCAAATGAAGTTTAGTTAATCGTTACACGTGTTTTGTGAAAATACCATTCCTTATTATTGTGACAAATATAACCCTTATAATAAATATGCTTCCGCTGTCTGCCTGTGTCAGGGCGGCTATCTCTTGAACGGTTATAGACAGCTGGAATTTCCACAACATGCGTGTTGATTTATCCACTGTTGTGATAGTCAGAACAAAATGATGAAATTAAAGATTTTACGTCTTTAATAAGAAATCTTTACAAATTGAATGTGATTTTTTGGACTAGTTTCACTAGTAATAACTTTGACGACTATATGTACGTATGTACTATGCCTGCCTGGTTTGAAAATGTCGTCTACTCGAGAGTTCCGTTTCGAATCCCGATGGAGAAAATGTTAGTATGATTGAATAAGCATATTAGTACCTAAGTCATGGATGTTTAAATATACATTTCTATATAAAAATATTTATAAGTACCTTGTCAGGTCATAAATTCTGTCACATGTTCAATATAAAATAATTGAAATAAGTTTATTCATTATGTAAACATTTATATACCAAAATTAACTTAACAAAACATAGATTCTTATGACAATAAAGTTTCAATCTGCGCGGCCAGTCGTCTATCGCAGCGCGAACGAGGTCCATGTCAATATCGGCGGCTGCCTTAATCAAGGATGTTTTGAGTGACTCCAAATTGGGATGAGGCTTTCTTTGAGCACGCCTTTTCCTCAAGTGTTGCCATATCTTGTAATCTAACGGACTCAAATCTGGACTGTAGAAGGGCCAGTCTTCGTGTCGGATGAAGTCGATTTCACGCGCCGATTTCAGTCTTGTGTGCTCTTCGCTCTATGAGCTGGTGCCGAATCTTGTTGGAATACCCAGTGCCTGTTATTGAACATGGTATGAGAAACAGGTTCGACAAGGTTCGTCAGGACTGTATTTTGATACACAACGGCATTCGTTTTTACACCTTTCTCACAAAGATGTACCTCTGTTAAGTCCCAATAAGAAACTCCCAACCATACCATGATCGAGGATGGAAAATGACCTCGTTGGACACGTGGAATACGGTTGCTCGCTTCTTCACTACTGTGTGCGTACACCTTATCATTTTGTTTGTTGTAGCTCTCTTCTACGGTAAAAATATTTTCATCCGAAAAAAGAATTTCGCGATATTTTTTTCCCGCGTACCGCTTTAATAAAGCGCGGCATCTCTTCA